GAGACTTATCTGAGGTGTTTCTGTTCAGATAAACCCTTTGAGTGGGTTGCTCACTTGCCTCTTGCTGAGTGGTGGTACAACACAACCTATCATTCAGCTATCAAATGCTCCCCTTATGAAGTTCTTTATGGTCAAAAGCCACCTATTCATCTTCCCTATTTGGCTGGTGAATCCTCTAATGAGATGGTTGACAGGTCCTTGGAGGCTAGGGAAGCTATTATTGCCTTGCTGAAGTTCCAATTGTCTAGGGTTCAACAAAGAATGCGAGATATGGCCAATAAACATAGGTCTGACAGACAGTTTCATGTGGGTGATTGGGTCTATTTGAAGCTACAGCCTTACAGGCAGTTCTCTGTGGCAATTAGACCCTTTAACAAGTTAGCTGCTAAGTACTTTGGTCCCTATCTGATTGATGCTAAGATTGGGGAAGTTGCTTATAAGCTTTTGCTCCCAGCAGATGTATTGATCCATCCTACTTTTCATGTATCACAGTTGAAAAAATGCCATGAAGTGCCTGCTGTCCTCAACCATCCTCCAGTGTTACATATATCTAGTCCCTACTGCCCCTTGCCTGAGGCTATATTAGAGAGGAGGATGATCAAGAGGGGTAATAAGGCTGTTTGTCAAGTGTTGGTTAAATGGCTGGGCATTGATACAACTCAGGCCACCTGGGAAATTCTCACCGCGTTGCAGCATAGATTTCCTTCATTCCAGCCTTGAGGACAAGGCTATTCTTCAATTGGGGGGTATTGATGCAAGTATATGTAGTCGAGTTAAAATGAATGTAAAGGAATCTGAAATCTGTTAGAAAGCTGTTAGAATTGTTAGGCAGTTAACACTGTTCAACTGCCAAGAAATTAGTTAGTTAGTTACTTTTGTTGTATTCTTCCTTAAGTCATTTTACCATTGATTAGTTGTATAAATACAAATGTACTGATTCATTCATTCATGAATAATATCAATCTATTCTTTCTTCCTTCTTCTACATCTTCTTAGCTAATCTTCTCGGTTGTACCCTGAATTAGCCTTCATCTTCTTCGAGCCTTAGCTCCTAGATTAACTACTATCATCGTGATTGAGTGTGAGTGCATCAGTTACTAAGATTCTCCTGCTTCTTGTTGTTTATGTATGAAAAAGTTACCTTTTTTATTTATATTTCCTTGATAAAGATGATAGTAGTGTATTTGCATATGCTTGTTTTGGTTAAGTGTTCTGTACAGAGGTCGGAGCTAGGATTTGAAAGTTATGAATTCTGAATTCTAAGATTTTACTGTCTCAAGTGTTAGTAATTGGATTGTGAATTTATGTGGTGATTTTTTTAAATGCATATACATGATTTGAATCAAAGCTAGAGAGTTCTGCCGAACCCGTGATATATGCTACCTCTATCCATGTGTCTGTGTATCTGCATCTTGTTTGTTGGTGATGGGGAAGTTGGTTATCTCATTGAGGGGTTGCATTTTAAGGTAGCGGATGTAGAATAATGTTGTGAGCATGTGACCACTGACGTATAAGTTATGTTGTTCGGACTCTCTTCAAGGTGTGTGTTGGGTCCTCCCAAAATAGTGCATTTTTGAAGGATTTGACAGGGGTGTATTTACATATGGTTATTTGGTTGATTGGTCTGTGTATCTGGATCCAGAGGAGGAGCGAAGAAAGGTAAAGGGGTTCAATTGAATCCGTTCACTTAAACAATGTTTTATTGAATGCCTCGACACATAGGCGGATCCAAATTTTGAACTTTATGGTTTCAAGTTCAAAACTTTTGTTGCATCCCATTCAAATCCATTATCTGTTCTTATTTAGTGAATCTTTATACATATATACTAGGTCTGAGCTAAAGTTACTGGTGTAGATGAACTCGTAAATTGTGAACTACATCCACTCCTGCCTCGCGTGAGGAAAGATTCTAGTATAGTGGTAAAGGGGGTTAAAAAATTGTTTTAGGTCATAGGTTCAAATCCTTGGTGTAAACTCTAGTATTTATAGCAGATACCAACTAGTTGAGGGTTTAGGCCTAGTTGATTGATTGATTAATATAACTAATTCGAGCCGAAGACAGTTCGTTCAAATTGTGGGTGATGGGGGTAAAAAACTGATAAGTCTGAGTGCAGTACATTGAAGTCCTTTGGGACACAGAATGCCCTTTGTTTCGCAGGAAAATATGTGTATTACGTTTGATTCCCCATTGCCAAGTTCACAAAATTTTTCATGTTATATGACATTATTGTTTGTATTGGAAGTGTATTCTTCTTGTGTCAACTGATTATATATTTCTCGTCTTAGTTCTTCATTGGATAGATTTGAGAGATTCCACATGTTTTCAGTTTCAGGAGTGTTGACTTCCATAGTAATTATTGATGGAACCTAACCACCCAACATCTAGCAATGATTATGCTGCTGATATCTCTTCCATCAGGCAAGCTCAAGTACGCATCGGGCCCTTTGCGCACAAAACTCCTGTCCTCACCTCAGAAACTTTAGACTCTATTGCTGGAAGAAAGTTGTACTTTAAATGTGAATGCTTTCAGAAGGGGTGAGAAGCTCTTTAACATAGAGTGGAAGGATTTCTTTCAAAGTAGTCCTGTATAAGTGTGTTGTAGTGAACTAGAGTTTCTGCTATTTTTCGCTTCTAAGGGTTCTAATTAAGGGCCATTGTTTGTGCAATTTATCAGGGTAGCTTTTAAATTCCGAAGGGCCTGCAATGCTATTTATTCACTTGATGATGATCATGATGCTAAAGGAGTTGTAACTCATAGCTGGTTCGTTCAGATCTTTCTGGTTTCTGTGGTTTACTATCTATATTTATTTTTCTGGATTACCTCCTGATCTACTTCCCGTTAAATTTAGTGGAAATCATGTTGCAGCTCTTGCTTTGGCTGCAAAGCTACGGGGCATCCCTGCTTATATTGTTATACCAAAAAATGCTCTAAAATGCAAAGTCGAGAATGTCAAAAAAACGTTACGGTGGTCAGGTTATCTGGAGTGAGCCATCGATGCAGTCCTGATAGGATACTGCAAACAAGGTGTTGCAAGATACTGGTGCTGTTCTTATTCATCCCTATAATGATGGGCGCATTATAAGGTAACATTGGTTTTCTTTATTATTTTTGAATAGATGATACTTGGTACTTCCCCCTTCTCAACTACAAAATAGATTGAGAAGGGCCTGAAAGCCCCCAAAGAAGCCTTAAGAGTATTCGGATGCACGTGTTTTGTTAAAATTCTATCTCCTGCCCAAGACAACCTGAGCCCTACATCTCACTTTATGTGTTAATGATCCTTCTGTATGATGATTTCATCTTTCTCGACATTTGCACATTACGAACTATTCCAAGTCAACCTTGAACTTCTAATTGAACTGTATGGAATAGTAGGTTTTGATATTCCAAAATACTACTTTTTCCAAAAAATTGAACCTTTTTGCTAGGAATCTAGACAGTATGATCTGTGCTGATGAATATTTCTCCATCTAATATGTTTTTTTGTGGCATTTACAGTGGGCAGGGTACAATATCACTGGAGCTTCTGGAACAGGCTTCCGAAATTGACACCTTAATAGTCCCAATTAGCGGTAAATCAACTTTTTAAAGACTTTGATATATCATTTTCTTCAAATTTTAATTTGTAGACCAGCCTCAATTACTGGTATGGAATGAAGGTGGTGGTCTGATATCGGGGAGTTGCATTGGCTGCCAAAGCCATTAATCCTGCCATTCACATTTTTTCTGCCAAACCAATGGGAGCGGATGATGCTTTCCAGTCGAAGATCAATGGCAGGATCACTAAGTTATCTGAGGTCAACACTATTGCCGATGGGCTTCGAGCCTTTCTTGGAGACCTCACATGGTAAGGTCTTAGATCTCCTCCTACTCTAAATTACTGTGCCTATTTTGGAGCTTTTGGCAATCAAAATCAAAGGTTTGTTGGCGGCAAGATCGGCATGACTTTATGTTTTAGAGATCATACTAATTTTTTTAAACTATGTTGCTTGGATTCTTCAAAAATATTGTCAGGTATGCATTTTGAGGATCCGACCCGAGCGAGGCAACATCTTTGGAGGGTCCAAGCAACAGAATTTTTTGGTTCTCACTTTTAGTGTATTTACCCCTGCACTGAAGAAGCCTCTTGGTCCCTTTTTCCCAAGCCCTTCTAACCCCCTAGCTCCTTTTCTTTCACTTCTACGCGGATTTCTAACAAGCCAATTTGATAACTTTGCTTTTTCTAACACACTCTTGATAACTTTGCTTTTTCTTACAAGCCAATTTGATAAATGGTATCTGGCATTTACCTTTACTGTCAAACAGGCCTATCGTCCACGATCTCGTGAATGATGTCATAGTTGTTGATGATGAAGAGATAATACAAGCTATGAGACTGCTATGAAATTCTAAAGATTGCAGTGGAACCAAGTGGAGCTATTGGCCTTGCAGCCGTTCTTTCCAATAGTTTTAAAACAAATCCAGCCTATAGTGAATGCAATAATATTGGCATTGTAATTTCTGGAGGCAATGTTGATCTTGGTGTGCTTTGGAATTCCGTTAACAAATGAGAAACCCTGTATTCAATCTCTCCCCAGATTCATGTATTCTTGCAAATTCTTGTTCTTTAATTTATGTCTCACATTATTTGTTTTTTTTAGTGTTCTTTTGTTATGAATGCTATGTACTGCTTTCCTTCTTAGTTGTCATTTTCCCGCTACTGTCTTATTTTCTTTTTTATAACTGCTTGCTTTGATGCTCTTGAGCCGATGGTCTTTCGGAAACAAACTCGCTACCTCCACGAGGTATGGGTAAGGTCTGCGTATACTCTACCATCCCAGACCCCACTTGTGGGATTACACTTGGTATGGAAGTTCCATCCAGTGTTGAGTCAATTTCTGTGATTTTAGCTACTGAGTATTGGGGTATCTTTCTGCTCAGGGACCGTAAGTTCTTTCCAGCCATTAAGGTTCATTCTTTCCCTCTTATTTCTCTTTCTATTTTCAGTGTCTACTTGATTTTAGTTTTTTTTTTTTGCTGTAATGGGTGTAAAAACTATCTGAAGTTGAGTCTGTTTCTCATGGACCCAAATGGATTTTCGAGTTGATTCAGTAAAGTCGAGAATGTCAAATGTTTCTGTGGTCAGGTTATCTCGAGTGAGACATTGATGCAGTCCCGAGAGGATACTGCAAACCAGGTGTTGCAAGATACCGGTGCTGTTCTTATTCCTTCCTTTAATGATGGGCACTTTATAAGGTAACACTGTTTTTCTTTGTCATTTTTGAGTAAATGATACTTAAATTCCACTGTCATTATTCCGGATATAGTAATATATCTGATACATGTATTATTATTGATATTTTTATCATACATATTGTGGCAAAATACAATGTTTATTATCTCATACATATTGTGGCAAAATATAATAATAAATGTATACAATCAAGAAGAAAAAATTACAATCAAACCCTCTCTGGATCATATTTGGGTAATATCTAGAAATTTGTGTGTATCTGGAAAGGGATAAGTTACCTAACCAAGAGCTCTCCTACCCTACACTTGTTTCCTTGATAGCATGGGTCGAAATTTCTTTTTTCTACTTTTCGATACATGTATCTTAAACAACCTCTTTCCTTTCTTATTATCGATTCTGCTGCAACAACTTTCAATTTCTTTGATTTTTTTGTTGTTGTTTATCCAATGACCGCATTTTTATGGGGTCATTGCGGAACTTGGTTCTCCTCTCGGCTTCTAAAGCAGCAACAATCCCTGCATTGTTATCTTCTTGAGTGAAAATGCACAAATCAAAGTATGGACAATCTTGATAAGAATGTTGGTTAGAGGGTAATACCTCGAGTAAGCCTCTTAGGAGTAGAAGCTTCCGCCATTGATACACAGAAAAAAGCTGGAGAAGCCTCCTAAAATAATTCAAATTAGTGGCTTAAAGTCTGAGAATCAGTAGGAAAAACTATTAGATACATATAACCAACATATTTATGCAAAACCGTTACTTAACTGAAAAAATCACGGTGCCACGAATTGAGGAAGAAGCAAAATCTCAAGATAGAGAATTAGGAGCAAATTATGGAAAGTGGGATTTGGTAAGAGAGTTAACCGATAGATACATACAGTGTATTAAGCCTTCAAAAAGGCAAAGGAAATAAACTAGTGAATTTGCTATAAAATGGTAACTGACGCCACATTTGGTAATATTTTTAAAACTAGAACTATGTATTTTTAGATATAGTAGCTATATATATTTGCTTAGTTAGGTAACTAATTTATGAGTGAAGAAGTGGGCTAGACCCATTAATCCTTAAAAAGGGGAAAGGAAACAAGCTAGTGAATTTGCTATAAAATTGTAACTGACGCCACATTTGGTAATATTTTAAAACTATAACTATGTATTTTTGATATAGTAGCTATATTTGCTTAGTTAGGTAACTAATTTATGAGTGAAGAAGGGGGCCAGACCCATTTATTCTTATCAACATATAAGTATATGAGATATATTAGGGTAAGAGAGCTCTTGGTTCTTTTGAAAAAAAACATTTTGCTCGAAGGAAGCAGCTGGAACTTTATTTGAGCCGATAGTGAAGCTCTCGTCAATTTAAGCTTCAGGTTAAAATTTACTAAGTTCATAGCTTTATTGGTTGCTTTTTTAAAAAAAAATTGTTGATAAGGATATGCTAGAACTTGATAACGATATAATGTAGAGTCCAAGTGGAGCAGAAGTGATAAGAGAATCAACACATCTGTGATGATGGTCACATCTATTTTCCATGTAACTGCTTTCTTGGTTCTTTTGAAAATGTTTTGTCTAGTAAGAAATGATGACGATTTAATGATTCGTATACGGTTAAGATGTTTTACTTTGGAAAAAGAATGTTAATATATATATATTGATATATCAAAATTGAATATTTTGATGGATTGTGGTAATGAGATATGCTTTCAGCTTTAGATTTATGATTTGAGGCGTAGAATATTGAGATTTGGCCTCAAGTTTGAAATTTAGGGAAATTGAGATTTAACCCATCATTTGACATTAAGATTGAAACTTGATTATAGATTTAGACTCCGTGGCTTATGGGTAACGAGTCCATGATCCATCATTTCCCTTGGTTGATCCTTGAGATCAAAACAATTTCCTTTCTCTTTAAGACCATACTCAGGCAATTTGTCATGTTATATGATATTATTTTTCTTGGTAGCGTATTATTCGTGTGTCTGTTGTCAAAGTCATCTGATTATATATTTCTCGTCTTAGATCCTCTCTGGATAAACTAGAGAGATTCAACCTTGTTTGGTATTTTTTTTTCTTTGATCTTCCCTGGACTGACTCAAAAAATTTCACATGTTTTCAGCTTTGCGATTGTTAACTTCCATAGTAATTATTGATGGAACCAAATCACACAAAATCTAGTGACAGTTATGCTGCTGATATCTCTTCCATCAGGGAAGCTCAAGTACGCATCAAGCCCTTTGCGCAACAAACTCCTGTGCTCACCTCAGACACTTTAGATTCTATTGCTGGAAGAAAGTTGTACTTCAAATGTGAATGCTTTCAGAAGGGGTGAGAACTCTTTAACATAGAACGTCAGGGATTTTTTCAAAGTAGTTCCTATATAAGTGTGTTGTAGTGAATTAAAGTTTCTGCTATTTTCGCTTCTAATTAAGGGCCATTTGTTCGTGCAATTTATCAGGGGAGCTTTTAAATTCCGAGGGGCATGCAATGCTATTTTTTCACTTGATGATGATCAGGCCACTAAAGGAGTTGTAACTCATAGCAGGTTTGTTCAGAGCTTTTTGGTTTCTGTAATAAAACTATCTTTATTTAATTTTTTGGATTATCCCCTAATCTACTTCCCATCGAATTTAGTGGAAATCATGCTGCAGCTCTTTCTTTGGCTGCAAAACTACGGGGCATCCCTGCATATATAGTTATACCAAAAGATGCTCCAAAATGCAAAGTCGCGAATGTCAAACGTTACGGTGGTCATGTTATCGTCAGTGAGCCATCAATGCAGTCCCGGGAAGATACTGCAAACAAGGTGTTGCAAGATACCGGTGCTGTTCTTATTTCTTCCTCTAATGATGGGCGCATTATAAGGTAACACAGTCTCACTTTTTTCGCTATGAATCTAGACAGAATGATCTCTACTAATGAATAATTCTCCATTAATGTCTTTTAGTGGTCTTTACAGTGGGCAGGGTACAATATCTCTGGAATTTCTGGAACAGGCTTCGGAAATTGACACTTTAATAGTCCCAATCAGCGGTAAATCAACAATTTTAAGACTTTGATATATCGTTTTTCTTGAAATTTTAATTTGTAAATCAGCCTCATTTTCTGATTCGGAATGAAGGAGGTGGTATGATATCAGGAGTTGCATTGGCTGCCAAGGCTATCAACCCTACCATTCGCATTTTGGCTGCCGAACCAATGGGAGCAAATGATGCTTTCCAATCAAAGAGTAATGGTAGGATCACTAAGTTATCTGAAGTCAACACTATTGCTGATGGCCTTCGAGCTTTTCTTGGAGATCTCACGTGGTAAAGTCGAGCTCCTTCTACTATAAACTACTGTCTGCCTATTTTAAAGCTTTTTCATAGTCAAAATAAAACCTTTCTTGGACTTCTGGCATTTACCTTTACCATTAAACAGGCCTATTGTCCGCGATCTCGTGGATGACGTCATAGTTGTTGATGATAAGGAGATAATACAAGCTATGAAACTTTGCTATGAAGTTCTGAAGATTGCAGTGGAACCAAGTGGAGCTATAGGCCTTGCAGCTGTTCTTTCCGATGGTTTCCAAAAAAATCCAGTCTATAGTGAATGCAATCATATTGGAATTGTTCTCTCCGGAGGAAATGTTGATCTTGGTGTGCTATGGAATTCCTTTGATAAATGAGAAACTCTATTAGTCCCGAGGGGCAGATTCAGAATTTGAACTAGTATTCGAGTTTGGAATTCTACCACAACTCATTTGATTTACTGGGTTTGGAATCAATTACTATTTGTTCTTCTTTAGTTAAGTTTTTTTTTTTATATATATATATATATATACAATGTTCGATCCAAAGTTACTAGTTTCAGATGAATCCGTAACTTTCACTCAATGTCCATCCTTGGAAACAAGTGTTATTCAAATTATCATTGTTTTTGATATACATACATTGTTGTTGTCATTTTCTTTTCACCATAAGTTGATGTCGACTATATGAATCTTTATTGTTTTGTGTGCTTGTTAACTTCTTTTGTTTGTTGCCTGCTAGGACAGATGTTATGTTGTAGCAAATTGTTGGTGGAAGACATACTATCTGGTTCGAGGTGTTAGTGAGGATTCATATTGTCGATTTTAATTTATTCTAGATTGAGACGATCCCAATTTATTCTAGACTGAGACGTAGTTATTATTGTTGTATTCGAGCGTCAAATGTAGGTACTACAATTATGTGCAGGACAATATAAATATTTCTTATATGTATAATATAGACAAACATGATCCCAGTTTGTATAGTATTGTATTGATTTGCATAGCTATATAGATGTGTATATAAACACCAAGAAATCGACAAATTGTGAAAACTATCAAAATTTCTTAAATTTTTATACAATCTTACCAAACGAGCAAATCATACTCCATAAACAAGTATGACATAGTGTTTCCTTATATATTAATTAAAGTAGTACTACTATTTAGTATTTACAGTATATATATATATATACTAGTTTAGGATCACGTGCTTCACACGTGTACACCAAAAATGTATAATTTTTGGGGAAAATTTATGAGGTTTTGCTAAGTGATAAACATATGAATTCAATTATACTCTTTACTTTATTGTTACAAGTTTTCTAAAAAAAATCTTTATTTTGCAGTATTTGGTGCAGAGAGGGGGAGGGGGAGATAGAAAAACGAAATCTTATGATAAAATTAAATTATTGATAATGCAAATTAAAACGAAGCTATAGTAATAAATATTCAACCTTTGACCATAAAAAAAGAGTTAAAAATCTTGGAAGACAAGTTAAGGGAAGTGATATTCAACTATATAAGTTAAAAAAAATAAATACATCAAGCTTCGATATTCTAGTAATTGAAGTGTTATTCATCCCTATAATCACATTATGCCTTATAATTTTGCCATAAATCCTCTTGTCTTGAAATTTTGTTCACTTGATCAAAGCTTATCTAGTCTCCCACACACAAAAATTGTATCACATATGAATCTTTCTATGGAAATACTATTGAAAGATTTGTTTTTGTAGGAAAAAAATATAGCTTTGAAAATATGAAGATTCACTTACAAAGTTGAAAGGTCAAGTGTTACAACAAATTAAAGACAAATATTAATTAAGAACATAAATTAATTTGTAAGATGAAACACTTACATGTATCTATTTAATTTAAATACTTCAAATACAACTCTTTGACTTTTCCGAGGCATGACATACTAATTACTTAAGTGAACTTGATTTGAATTCTAAAAGATACACGTTTTTATGAGGTCAAATACTACTATATTAAGTTACTAGTAAACTTAGCCGCGCTATGCGCGGTGTGAAAAGGTTTTAAAGATATCTTTAAAAATTTTAAATCCAAATAAATTAGATAACAAATTTTAACACATAAATTTGTAATTTTAACTTGATATATGAGATATTGGTTTCATAAAAAAAAATCCTTAAATAAGCACCGTCGGTCCTAAAAATCGTACTCCATCTGTTTCATTTTATGTGACACATTTTTCTTCATAGTCCATCCTAAAAAAATGTTATTTTACTATAATTAAATAGAATTTACCACAACTTTTAAAAGTCTTTTTTTTCTTAAACACCGTATCAAGTCAAAGGGTGCCACATAAAATGAGACGAAGGGAGCATAAATATAATTAAATATTAATTAGTATTATAATTTTATATAAGAAACAATAATTGTCTTTTCATGATCCTTTAGATTATATATATGTTTTTTTTATCGAATGAATGTGTAAGACGACACTAAATGAGATTTACTCATTTAAATTAATGTATAATATCAACTTATATAAGAAATGAAAAAAAAATAACGTAAAAATTTGGTAATAAACCTAAAATATAAATGATTTTATTTAATCCTATATAAACTAACTAATATGATTTTAAGATGTGTAAAAAAAATAAAATATTGAAAATGTAAATCTGTTCATATCGACAATCGAATAAAAAAGTTAGTATATTAGTAAAATTATGAAATAACTGTAAGTTTTCAAAAATAAATTATGATATTAAATTAATTATTACTACTATTTTTGAACTTTTGCTTAAGAATGTCTTTTATAGTATAAGGAAGGATAAAATTAAAACAACTAAAATCTCGTAATTTTCATCTTATAGCTATTAATAACCATCATATTGAATTCGATTAAACTTTAAATTGCAAATGATATTGGAAAAAGTGATAAATGATTCTCTGATTAAAAAGATGCATCATGTCATTCTTTTTTTGAGATAAAAGAAATATCCACATTTAAAAAAAAAATACATACAAATCTTCTTTATTTATTTATAAATATAATGAAAGAATAACCACAACTCAATATGAATTTGATATAATTATTCCTAAAATTACAATAAGACATTTACTCCAGAAAAAAGATAAAATCATTACATTCCAATCTACACTATAATTATGTACAAGTTTGCAATAAATGAAAAAAATAACAAAATTTGATATAACACTAAAAATAATATATTCTACAAAGTTATAAGAATTACAAAAATTCAATATGAAATTAATATAATTATTCCTACGATTTATAATAGGGCATTTTCCTTAAAGAAATATTACGTTGAAATTCATAGTATGACTATATACAAACTTGCAATAAATAATAAGAGTAGCAAACAATGATATATTACTAATGATGACATGTTTATCAAGCTTGAATTTGGACAAATATTTTTACAAGTAAGGGAAAACTCTACTTAATTTCCTGACAAAAAAAAAAATCTGCACCAAAATACAATATAAAATGAATAATTGTGACAAAAGAAAAACAAACAAAAAAGAACCTAAGAAATAACTTCTTTTTAGGAAAAAGAGTTTCAAATGAATGAGCACATTAATAATAGTGAAGAATGAAAAGAAAGCTTAGAAATGGAAAAGAAAGAATGTTACGCGGTAGAAATGACTTCCTTTTTAGTACTTATAGTAATAAAAAAGAATAGTAACATAAAATTGAAGTAAATAATAAATTTGAATAATTATAAATAAATAGTATTACGGGCATTAATTATGACTAATTGAGTTTTTATCGTAAATAAATTTGCATTAGTAATTGAGGGGTACAGGCTGCTAGATTTAATTGGGGTTTTGTTTATTTTCCTAAAAATGAAAAAATTATTGTCTATATTTTATTTATGATTCACATGAGGTATATTTATGAAAAAAAAGAGTATGTTGTTAGTAGTAATTTGTAAGCACTTTTATAAAAGAATGTAGATGCTTTTAGAGTTGTGAGTAACTATCATTCTCATATTTTGGATGATAAAGATAGTATTTTTACGTGAGAAATCGAGAGCAACAATAATTATATTCTTACTGTTCAAATAGTGAAAATTCATTACAATATGAGTCTCTCGTTCGAGAAATAAAATTGGATACTTTTTAAATGTTTCCAAGTGTTCTAAATTCTTCATTCATATTGAAATGTCCTAATAAAATACATAAGTCTTCAAAAGGTTAAAATATCAACAAATCAAGAAAAAGAAAGAAGAAGAGATCAACATAAATAATATAATAACAAAAGAAAAAAAGATTACAAATACACCTTCGGACCTTAAATTTTTTGGAAAAAATTTAGCATTCACAAAAGAAAAAAAGATTAAAAATACATCTTCGGACCTTAAGTTTTTTGGAAAAAATTTAGCATTCGGACCTTAACTTTCTTGGAAAAAATTTAGCACAATGTTTCCCTTCATTTTTGTCACAAGAAAATACAAACTCCTAGAACTCAAAGTTAAAATAATAACAAATCAATAAATTTAAAAAAAAAAAGAGCATAAATAATAGTATAATAACAAAAGAAAAAAAATATTACAATTACACCTTCGAACCTAAATGTTCTTGGAAAAATTTAGCACAACATTCCTCTCATTCTTGGCATACGAAAATCCAAGCTCCTACAACTCAAAAAAAATCAAGAATAATTAAAAAGAATAAACATGTAAATGAGGTTCTGACAGAAATGAGAAAATATATTTATATACAAGAATTCTATGAAAATATAAAAATGAAGGGAAAGGTAAAAAGATTTTATAACTGATTTGAAATTATAATGCTTAATTGGTAAAACTCATTTAATAGAAAATAAATATGATTGAAATTTGTCATAATTTAAGATTTAAAATTGAAGAAGTGTTTTTTTTTATAAATAAAATAAATACAACAAAAGAAAAAGGAAGGACCGTAGGAATTAATAGTATTAATGAAGATATTAAAAAAGAAAATATCTTTAATGTTCTGTAATTTTAATGGCAATAAATTAAATGGGATTAATTGATATGAAAAATAATGGAAGAAAGAAAACATTTATGTTTATAAGGAGAAAAGATAAATAAAATATTTTATTTTTAAAAAATAATAGAAATAGAAGGTATAGAAAGAATACATTTATGTTAATAAGGAGAAGGGATAAATAAAATACTTTATTTTTAAAAAATAACAGAACGTATAATATTAAATTATAATAATTAAAACTAAAAAAAAAATAGGTAGAAAGAGGACATAAGAAAAATAAATATTTAAAAAGTAGATTTTTACGTTGAGGCAAAATGGCAACCTTTTAAAATTTCTTTTTTTAGGGAGGTGTAAATGCTCATCAAGTAATACTAATTAAGGAGTAGCAATTAATATGTATGTATACACATAATATTATTGTGTAAAAAATAGAAAAAAGGCCCTAAATTCTAAGAAGATAAATAATTTTTCTGATCATTGAGGCATGCCACATCAGCGGGCTGAAGATCCTCCTTTATATATATATATATATATATATATTTTGATTGATTGAAAATTTATGACTTTATTATCCATTCGAATGAGTTCTTTTATAGAGTTATGACATAGTAATAAGAATAAAAATAATAAATTTATGAGAAAAAGGAAGGAAGATATACATTTGATAGTAGATTAACAAAATAA